TTTTTATCCCCCCAAACCCTCCTTTCTGCCCCCCAACCCCTCATTTTACCCCCCAAACAACCCCATTTCCCCCCTCTCCCCCCGCAGTCAGCACTCGATGGTTACCACGTCTGCATCTTCGCCTACGGGCAGACGGGCAGCGGCAAAACCTACACCATGGAGGGGCCGGATGCTTTGGACCCCGAGAGGAGGGGGATGATCCCCAGAGCAGTGCACCGGGTCTTCCAGGGAGCACAGGAGCTGGCAGACAAAGGCTGGCAGGTGAGAATCACCACGGGAAGGAGGTTATTGGGGGGGGAGGGGGGGGTTGGTGCTTTTTGACCCCTCCTGCAGTATCGTTTCAGCGCCAGCTTCCTGGAGATCTACAACGAATCCCTGCGGGATCTGCTGGGCGCTCGGGCGGAGCGCGGGGAGCTGGAGATCCGCAGGGTCAGCTCAGCCAGCGAGGAGCTGCACGTCCCCAACCTGCGCTGCGTCCCCGTGGCCTCTGAGGACGAGGTGAATGATAGAAACCTGCTTTGCTTTCCCATTTATTTCATACGCTCACGAGGTTGGAAAGGACCTGCAGCATCACCCAGTCCAACCCTCCCCCATTTACCCTTGCTACCACAAGCACTAAAGCACATCTCATCTGGCTCCTGCGTGCTGCCAGGGCCACTCCACCACCTCCCTGTGCAGCACCTGCCCACTCTGAGACAAAAAGTTCTTCCTTGTGTCCAACCTGCGCCTCCTCTGCTACGACCTGAGGCCGTTTCCTCGGCTCCTGTTCGTTGCTGGGAGCAGAGGCCAAACCCCTCCTCGTCACAGCCCCCCTTCAGGAAGCTGCAGAGTGCACCGAGGTCTCCCCTGAGCCTCCTCTTCTCCAGACTGACCAACCCCAGCTCCCCGTAAGACCCCATCGTGCTGCAGACCCCTCAGCAGCATCACTGCCCTTCTCTGGACACGTTGCAGGGCCTCGATGCCTTTTTTGTCGTGAGGGCATCAACCAACTCCCCCAGCTCCCTTTCCTCCTCACAGCCGCTCCTCCCACAGCCCTGCACGGGGTTATGATGGCCGAAGTGCAGCACCAGGCACCTGGCCTCGCTCAGCCTCATCCCCTCCCCCTCAGCCCACATCCCTGGGAAGGGCCTCCCCACCCCCAGGTGGATCCACACCACCCCAAACTGAGGGTGCCCTCAATGCCCTCATCTGGGTCATGCAGAAAAATGTTAAACCAGATGGGTCCCAGCACCGACCCCTGGGGGACCCAACCTGTAAGGAGCAACCAGCTGGATTGGCTCCATCAGCCACAGCTCCACCAGCCACAACTCCATCAATCACAGCTCCATCAATCACAGCTCCATCAATCACAGCTCCATCAATCAGCTCCATCAGCCACCGCCCGCTGGACACCTGAAGAAGGGCACCCCCATCCCCACAAAACCCCGTGAAATCCACCCCAGGACACTGCAAACCCTCAAGAAACCCCGCAAACCCCCCCTGAAATCCCATAAACCCCTCCCAAAATCCCATGAAACC